GAAGTGGGTCATGGGCTTGCAAAGACAAAAGACTAAGTCAATGGGTTTAGAAATAATATAAGAGTGTAGGCCCAACCAATTAAATGTTTTGAAATACAATAAAATGAGCCCAACACATAAACACATGCACACAACAACACGCACACACACAGAGACACGCATATACACAAATTGGGATTACCCATGAAATTGGGTTTGTTAAATTATAAATTGGGTTTTTTTTATGATAGATGTTTGTAGAGTTTTGATTGAATGTATTTTAGGGTCATCAATTTGGGTTTTAATTTGGGGTTTCCTTAAATATGGTTGTAATATATTTTTTAGTATTTTTATTGAATGTTAGGGTTTTCAAATTGGGATTTTTCATGAAATTGGGTTTGTGAAATTATAAATTGTGTTTTTAATGACAGATGTTTGTAAGGTTTTGATTGAATGTATTTTAAGGTGATTATTGAATGTATTTTATGGTGATTATGATTCAGGTTGTGTGCTAATTGTTTGATATTATATGTTAATTGAGATTGTATGTTATAGGGTTTTCATTGAACGTATGTAAATTTTTTTAAGGTTAAGGTTCTTTGGATTGGGATTATGTGTTGTTAAGTGAGTGTTACTTTCAAATGGTATGATGTTTAAGGCAAAGTGTTTAATTGTATGCGTATGTGAGATTTATGTTTTGGGTGTCCTCATTGTTAACTACCATTGTTTTGTAAACCATGATTCATTTGAACTCTTTATTTATTGGTAGAATCATCTTCATCACCCTCGGTCCCTGTATTATCTTCTAGTGCAGCCTTCACCTATCAACCAGAAAAAGGCTGACTTTTAGCTCAGGAATGTGTCGGGAGGCAACAAGACAACTACATTTTGACTTTTCTCTCCGTGAGATGAGCCAAGTGCATTGGACCGATGGATAAATAGAACTGAGCTGGCCTAAAAAGTGCTTGGGCACTCTTCGGTCCAAAATTGACCAAGGACAAAAACAAGTTACAAGCATTAATAATCACTTTCGTTAAAATGTTTAAAAAAAAAAAAAAAGAAGCAACGAAAAAAAAGACACTATTTCAAAATATCAAATTCTGTCATTGATCACAGTCACACGGTGGAGAATTTAACTTAACATGCGAGTTTATTGATTTTGTTATTGTCACCTTTACGATTGATTTTAGTTAAAGTAACTTAATATTGGTTGCACAATTTTGGTATTTAAAGTAACGTACTATTAAAATTGGATAACTCTTTCTTTGGCAAATCTCAATGTTGTATAGTTTTAGGTGATGCCATATTTTTGGAAAAAATCATTTAATTAGTTAAGAATTTGATCATGTAGGTGTTGATAGTGCACAAAATGCTATGGCACCAATACTTGATTAAAATAGGATTTCGAGGGGCAAGTAAACTTCCTTTCTATTCATCTTATTACTATAACATTGAAAGAAACTATTTGAAGTTTTTTCCTATTTGATATGCATTATTTCATTCACCTTTATAAATCTAAACTAAGCTTTCTTCGATTATATTTCAAAAGGGAGAATTTTTTGTTCTACACAATACCTTGAGGCAAGGGTCCATATTTAGTTGGACATGCGTGTATAATGTGTAACTATAACCAATGTTATTTGGTTATAAATGTTATTTTGGTTTAGATTGTGTACAGTCTAAAATATGATGATATTTTTGAGTTAGATTAAGTAATTTATTCTTAAGATTGCTTATGCAATGGTTTATGTTGGACAATGCAATAGTTTTCTGTTGGACAGTGATACATACAATAAGATATATAACTTCAGTAAAAAAGTTTTGAATTTTTCTAAGTTCCTATTTTTGAAAGAAACTCTGGCAAAAATATTTGAAAAAATAGCAAGGGATTGATTTATTTTAATTTATTTAATTAAAACAAATAAAAAAATTATTTTAAATGGAAGAGTTTTTTTAAATTGCTAAGTGTCTTTTGACACGAGTTATTACTAGTATTCAATATTTTATAAACTAAAATGATGTAATTAAAATATTAGAGATTAAAATAAGATAATTCCATATTTGGGGTACCTCTTGTGCAATTAATTCAAATAAAATATGAGATTTTCTAAAGTTCGTTATTTAATCACTAAAATCCCCGACATTTGAAATATTATATATAAATTCCCTAAATTTTGTACACTCTTAACACTTTGATCGTGCCATCAATATCGTTAGTTAATATATTATATTAAGACCCCTTAAGGTTTGTAAGTGTGTAATAATTAGACCATTCAAGTCTAAAATATTATACTTAGACAAAAAATATTCAAATTAAAGATAAAATATCAAAAATTTTAAATTTTATAACTAAAATTCATGTTCTATTATTACATTTATTGAAATTAAATCAAAAATAAAAATCTAATTTTTTTTAAAAAATCATAATTAATATACAATTATATTATCTATTAGAATTTAATTTGGTCGTTTGCAAATGACTTCACGAAGGTATGTTTTCATAGGACTTTCATTTTGAGTTTCCCTATGCATATGACATTATGAATTAGCCACTGTTCATGTATCATTGTCGCGAAGTTGGTGTGAATATCCAGAAAAGTTTTCCTGTCACATAGCTTTCCTTGTCTCCACTTTATTCAAAGTAACTTGATAGCCAGCATTCCATGACATGTCTGTAGATGTGAGAGTAAGGCCCCCACTAACTTTTTTTTTTTTACCCAGACATTCCCTCACATTTCAAAATTTACACTGAGGCCCCATTAAAATGGGTGTCGTTAACGGTATTAACTGAAAGACCATTTTACCCTCAATTTAACTGACTAAAAAATGAGCAAAATCCAAGTCCACATCTACAACCATGATCTATGCCTAGACCCATGTGCATGACCTAGGCACCCTTCTCCCCCAAATGTTAGCCTCTCTTTCTCTCAGACCCCCAAAACCCAACGGTGCAACCACAACACCAAACTTACCCCATTTTGCCACCTGTTGTCAACAATTACCCACTACCAACACCACTGCGAGAAGCACAATCGCAATAGTGGACTCGGCTATCAACATCTCCATCGATCGACATCGCGCCAGAGATGGAGAGACACCACCGCCACTGCCTTAACCATCCAAAACCCACAACTAACACCACCCCTTGCCATCCATAGAATTTGATCTTTGATTGGCGCAAGAAGGGATCTTCACCTAGGGTTTTCGATCTTGACCTCAAATCTTCTCTCTGTCTCTCTCTCTCTCTCGATGATCTATTGTAGCGGTGAATGGAGGTGTTAGTTGGTGGTGGCTTTCAATGTGGGGATTTTGATGTGCAGTTGATACGTATTTAAATTTGTGGGTCGTGGATCGTTAGTTTTGGTGGTTTCAGTGGTGAGGGAATGGTTTGGAGGAGATCAGGGAGGACAATTGTGGTGGCGGCGCAATGGTGGCGTTGGTGTGTAGGATTAAACATATATATTGCTTTAACAAATTTATTGTTATTTAGCTAATTAACTAAAAAATTATTTTTGAGGAACTCGATTACTACAAATGAGTTTTTGAGTTAATAATTAATTTTTTGAGTTTTTAGTCATACGATGCAATTTAGTAATTAATTTTTTGAAGTTATAATTCCAATAGTAATTAATATCAAAATTATTTTGTTGAAGAAATAAAGAATAATTTATATATTCGAATAACTAATTACCAAATTTTAATTAATATCTTATAATCAATTAAATAAAATTTAAAATTTTAAGTAGGAGGAAAAATGATGTTTTTGAATTGAACGGAAGGGATTAGAATTGATATTTCAAAAAGAAATTTAGCATTATGATTTTGTATAGGATGACTTTAACCAAACAAGGGTATTATAAAAATTTAAAAAAGCTTCTTACTGATGTCAGCATTTTCCGTGGCGTCCATCAAGCGGAGGTAGTTTATTGTTAAATGTTTCAAATGTGAAGAGATCTCAATGTAATTTTTGAAATGTGAGAGGTGTCCGTGTAATAAAATCAAATGTCAGGGTGCAACAAATGAGGACAGATTTTTAGCTCTGAATAGCATTACTCTTTGTTTATTATGGGATTGATTTTGAATCCAACTGCAACATTTTTTAGCTGCATTCTTTGGAGTTTGGAGTTTTTCTGTTTCTTCACCTCAGAGGTGACACGCCGCCTCCCAAGCTTAGAGGAAAAATGCTATGACATACTCCACAAAGCATGGTACAGTGAACTAACTACTATTGTCTGTTATATTTTTCTTAATATTTGCTTCGGCAGGTGATTGAAACACCAACCCAAATGGATCTGGATCAATACCTCAAGCAGCTCAAAACCATGTCAACATTGTTTTCTAGAGTTTCTTTCCTTAGAGAAGGGAACCATCCTCATAATCGGAAGATCCGTATTCCTTAGTCATAGGGTGCTTTGATATCCAGCAGAAGGGCTACATGACCTACTTTTCTCCGTTGTATCGTTTTCATGTTTACTTGAGAAGGTGGTTAAACCACCACTCCCTAGCAGACATGATTTGTCTTTTGTCCTGAGATCCGGATGAAAACAACAGGTCATATGCTAATATTTTCCATGAAAACTTCTTTGAAGATGGAATTTTTATTGCATTTGAATTTCATAAATACAATTAAATTTGATGGTGCTGGGAATTTGAGTGTATGAGAGGGAGGCTGAAGAGCTCTCTGTTAAGATGAATATGTAGATTATATGGGACATAATAGGGGAACAAGTAAATCAATCATAGGAATCGACAAACACACGTGGTTCAGTGGTTCACCAACTGAAAATCTTGGCTAATCCACTCTAATAGAGTTTCTTGCTCCTGTCACTTGTATTGCTTGGGGAAGACGGCTATAGCTTTTTTGTGTGCAAGAGTTCATCCCCTTATTACAAGGCAAGGGTTTGCCTATTTATACTATCTAATTGAGTGGTCCCTTAGTTTGTTAGGATATTGGAGAAAATATTTGGCCGTTAGAGACTATATTCTTCTAAGCATGACGTGGTATTTTAGAAGCAATTGACATGGCATTGGTGATCTTATCTTTGGATGGGATCCGGTGCCGGGCTTTACTCTTGATCCCTCTTCCTCTTGTGGTACGACTAGCTTCGAGCTCATTTGGAAAACTGCTGATCCGGATTGAATTGCTAACAGATCTGAGCTGTCTTGACCTCGTGCTAGAGAATAAGTTTAGCCTCTTCTCAACTTAGTGGTTGCTTTGCTACATTGTGGATCTATCTTATGTGGCGATTTTATTCTTGGTATCACCAAAATTAATATAGGACTATATCTTTTTTGTCCAGCAATTCCCCTTTTTGGTACCTAAAGTTTTTTCTTGTTTCATCTCTACTCGTATGGAACTCAACTTCTACATAATTGATCTCGTATAGGTTTCTCCTCAGCCTCAGGGCTCTGTTTGGTATTAGGATTTAGGAATACCAGATTAAGAATTGGCCTCAAACTGCTTACTCTGACGTAGGGTTTCCAAATCAAGGGAATCTTTGTGATACAAATATCTATGGTTTCCCTAATGAAGGGAAGTATTCAGGTTTTCTGTGTCTTAACACATTTGAATGAGCTCCCTTTCAGTCGAGGAGGATGGTTTATGCTCCAATTACTTGTAATGCATATCCATTGAGAAGACGGCACGCTAATGTAACAATCATATTTAATGGTTTTCTTCGTCAAGAAACACATTGCCCTCCTAAATAACTTGTATAATCACAATGAGGAACCAGTGGTCTTCTGCAACTGAAATTTGCTGAAGCATCTATAATAATGACCAATATCGTTTATGTGCATGGTTCTTTGTGGCTTTGAAGTTCTAATTGAAGCATCTTTTTATCTTTTGTAGACTCTACCAAGGTTCCAACCAGAGAATGTCGAGCATAACAAAAAGTTGTACGAGCAGGTTAATGCCATAGCAACAAGGAAGGGATGCATCACATCGCAGTTAGCATTGGCCTGGTTACAGCACCAAGGGAATGATGTGTCCCCCATACCCAGTACTACCAAGATTGAAAACTTTAACCAGAATGTTGGAGCTTTGTCTGTAAAACTAGCACCTGAGGAAATAACCGAGCTTGAATCTATTGCTACAGTTGATGCGGTCAAGGGTGACAGATATGAACACATGGCTACCACCTGGAGGTTTGCAAACACTCCTCCCCTATCCTCTTGAAAGCTGAATGAGGATGAGCCTCTTGGTGCCATGCAAAGGCTGCTTTATGCTTTTGAAGTAGTTCTATGTACTTGTAACCGAGGAATGTTTTATATCTGGGATTGCTTCATTATTCGAATCTTGTTCTTATCACCGTATGCATGTTTTGTGGCAAATCAACAGCAAACATGGCAAATATGGAACAGCATGGACATCTCACTACTGTCAACAAACAAATGTGAACATGTGGAGCCAAGGACTCGGACCCACACGTTATAATTCAGTAAATAAACTTATAAACATAAGGGTTAATAGCACCTTTAGGGTGCATTTGGATTGACTTAAAAAAAAAGTGTTTTTTTAGACTTGACTTATTATAAGTGCTTTTAAATAAAAAAAAAAAAAGGTAGTGTTTGAGATTACTTTTTAAAAGTAATTTTAAAAAAGTTAAAATCATTTTACCACTTCTATAAGTCTAAAAAAAAAGTTAAAAAATAAAATTTTTACTTATCTAAAATCACTTTTGCGTTTTGTCCATTCACTTTTTTTTTCTTTAAACTTTTTTCTCCCTCACCATCGTAACTCTCTCCATTGTCCATACTCTCGGCTGTGAACGAATGGCTTCTTCCACTTTGGCAACCATCGTCGCCGTTGATGGTGACAGTGTGATCTTTCACTCCCTGATCGACGACAACACTTGCCTTCTCTCTCGCTGACTATCGACGACACCAAAACAACCTTCTCTCTCACCGTTCTTTGTTGTATCGCTAATCTAACCAGATCCTTTCAAACAAGGTACAACATCCTCCTTTTAACTAATTTTATGGCATCTTTTGCAGTTATTTTGTTTGTGATTTGTTGTGGGTTTGTATATTTTGGTTTGTGATTTTTTTTTTTTATGATTAAAGTTGTGTAGATCTTTGAAAGATTTTAGGGAAAATGTTTTTATTTGATTCATGATTATTGTGGGAGTTGATTTTACATTAGATCTATGAGAACTATAGATTTTTAGCATCTTGAGATGATGATTTTATGGTTTTGAAAATTGCTTGTAGTAGTTAATTTTTTTTCCCTTGTTCCAGTTTTCATTTGCTTTGGACCTTAGGAGTGTGTCAATTCAACTATTTCTGAGCATTTAAATGTTGTTTTATTTTCATGGGGGCTAATAGAAGCTTTGTTCCTGTTGGTTCAGGCAGTAACTCATGCTTCAATTTTGGTTCTTATTGCACGTGAGAAAAAATTTGGAGCTGTTTCTCATCCTATATTGGATGGATAATTTTGTTGGGGCTATAGCCCGGTTGATCAATAATTGGGGCGATTTGAATCCACACATAAGAATGGATGATATATTTTTTTTGGCCATTTTCCCATTATCTACTTTTCTTTTCATTGTTGGTGTTTGGGGGTCGTCTGGGATTTGTATGATTAGAGAATCTTAATTTGGGAGTAGATGGTTTGGCATATGCATTAGAACATTGTGCTCTGCTCTTCAAAGTACTTTTCTTCATTCAGATGCTATCAAATGAATTAGTTTTGGCTGCTTCATTCTTTTATGGTGAGTGCTCCAACTGGTTGCTGAGTTTAGAGCATTACTGGATGGATTAAAGCTGGTGCAGAGTTATGGGTTAATGTCTTATGATATCAGACTGGAATGTGATTCACTGGTGCAGAGTTAAGTGTGCTTGGACTCTTTTGGGATTTCTGGATCAGATTAAGGAGTTATTGAGTGTTGGGAATTTCTAGATTTCTCATGCCTTCAGGGAAGCTAATTGTGATGCAAATCGTTTGGCTAATGTGAGGAGAAGAAAATCTGCTGATTTTTCTGTGGCTCAGAATGTTCCTATTGAGGTAAGGATGGCTGTTTCCCAGGATTTGTGTTGTTTGCCTGTAATAAGGAGGAAAAAGAGAACTGTTTTTGATGATTTTGGATGAATCTTGTTGAACTGTGTTTGGAGTAGTGGTTTTATGGGCTGCTATGCTATTTTTTTAGCTGAGCTGAGCTGGGAGATTATGGCCGTTGCTGGAGCTGATTTTTGCTGCTAGGTGGTAGTTTTTTTTGGCTTTTTCTTTAATCTGTTTGGTTGTGTAGTATGGGAGGACGGTTTTGTTGTCTTTCCTTTTGCTTCTTGTAAATTTTGTCTTGTTCATAAATACAATTTTTTAATTATTTTTTTTTTTAAAAATGTTCATTATTTTTCAGGGCTTTAGACTTTCACCACACAAATGCAATTGTTGTTTGAATGCTCTAATTTCATACTTTTATTAATGTGAATTTTCTTTTATGTGCGATACTTTTTTTGTGTATCATTGTATATATATTGTATGTTTGTATATGTGCACTTAATGATGTTAATAATTGTGACACAAATAAATATTTTTTCATCCAAATTGACTTTTTATAAAATACTTTAATTTAAGCATTTTTAAATTTGATTGTCCAAACAATACTTAGTCAATGAAAGTGTTTTTTTATAAAACACTTTTGATAAATATTTATTAAAAAAATATTTTTTTGATTTCATAAGTCATTTCAAACGCACCCTTAATCCATAAAGTATGCATATTTTGTCATTTTGGTTCTTCAAGTATCAATTTTTTCAATTTGGTCCCTAAAATATTTAATTCGTGTTTAAATGATCTCTATATAAACAGACTGTTTAGTTTTTGAAAGAATGATCACATTATGAGCACGTGATATCATCTAAAAAAATAACACGTGATCACTTCTATAAAAAAATGTAACGAATTGTCTGATTAAAAATTAAATTGATAAAATTAATACAATGAGGATTAAACTGACAAAACATACATATTTTAATAACTGAAATTGTGTATAGGGTAACTTTTCAAAATAAAAGTTTATTTTAAGGATGGATTTTTACAAAATAGACTTTCAAGAAACATTAGATGTTTGGTGAACCTGCATTTAGAATTTCATTTGAACTTAAAAAGTACATTTCTATATGAAAAAATATTTGGCGGTAATATCTCAAAGTGTAAAACAACACATACTTAGCAAATCTAATCAAGATTGAATTACTCCAAGAAATAGTATAATCTTGCTGTCTGAATTATCAAAGGAAACCATAGATGTGTTGAGGACAAAGCTCTGGGTTTAAGAATAGCAAGATTTAATTAAAGCTGCCAAAGTGAATTTGATACGTGGCCAACTTAACCAAAACGGAACAAGCCATCTCTCCTCTCAATTATTTGCTAAAAGAACGGATGAAACAATGGCACAAATTAGGGAAAGAAAACATGTATATTATAAAATTCTTTCACTTAAAGAAAAGAAACGAGGAAAGGAAAAAAGAGAAAGACAAGGTTATTACAAATAGATAAGTTAGTGGGGGTACAAACACAAGAATAGGAATACCTTAAACATTTGGCTTACAATGCATCTTATACACTTGGGAAAATTTTCATTGTTCTTAATTTATCAAAAATTCGAACATTTGATACTTACCCCAATATACAAAAAAACCAAGAGAAAATTCCTAATCAATTACAAAAAAAAAAAAAAAAAATAGATCAAACACGAGCTAAAATATACAGATTCTAAACTGAAATTAAAATTTAGGAACCCAAAAAGAAAAGGGGGAAAAACCAACAACAAAGAAGTGAGATATGAAGACTCGGCATGGCCCAAACTCTTTTTCAACATCGTCGGGATGAAACGCAACTCCACAGTGCCTGAAATCTTAGTAATCAAAATTAGAAATGGAAGACTTCGCCTTTTATCCATCACTTTAGGTGCATTATAAATAAGGTTGACTAGATAAAAGGGAAGATTTATACGTATTTCAATCTCAATCGCATAAAGCAATTGAGCTCTATTAAATCAAAAATCAGCTATATGTCCTTTGGGATCGATATTACACGAAACTATACGATTTAACATGCTATAGCTTAAACCAAGGTTTTTCAGCCTTTTTTTGTGTTTGTATCCATCCAAACAACAGGGGTATCACAAACTACATCAATAACCTTCCCAATTTCAAGGACTTGCTCCTCTTTCTATTAAGGATACAAAATGGTATTCTCATAAAGTAAGTGGCGGGGTACTTTCAAAATTTTTGCAATCAGATTAGGGTTCATGTCTACTCAAAATTTTTTCAATGAAATTAGGGTTCATGTCTACCACTTTATCCCTAACTTGAGACTTAAAAGGTGTGATGATCTTTGTGAAAGTCGTGGATGTTTGCATAAAATAACCTCACCAATTGGCATGACATATCGGTGCCAAAAGCATCATCTGTAGATCTATGCCACCACACAACTCTTGACAGTAACAAGGATATTAAAAGATTGGAGAGAGGAATTGAACAAATAAAACGATGTTTGGATCGTTTCCATGCTATGGAACATGCAAAGAACTTGCACGTGGATCCAAAACAAGCTATAAAAAAGATTATAGAGGATCTATTTATGGTGTCCAACCCATAATTGTTTGACTATAATTACTCCGACGACTTCTTTCAAAATTATCTTCCAAATTCATTGGTAATTGGTAGGAAATTACTTTGTTGTTTGGAATATAATCTGACCTAATGTGTTTTTAAAATTTATCAACTACATAAACATTATTAGTTGATGAACTATTTCTAAACCACAACAAAATGAACTTTAGAGCTTCAACACAATGAAATAACTTGATGGTGCTTGAAATTACTCTACCCAAATGCAGAACAACTGTGGGAATGAAGCCTAGTGGGGATTTTACGAATACTTAAAACAATGGGGGGAGTAGAGGCTAATGTAGGGTCCAAAGACAGGATATAAGCGGTTTACTTAGCCGAAAAACCAAAACTACATCCACTATAATAGATGCTCTTGCTCCTTGGGGATTGTATTATTTTAAGAAGATAGTAATTACATTGGGTTTTAGATTAGGAACCTTTTTACAAGGTATTTCTTAAATGAGACTTCGGAATTTTTTTCTTTACAGTGACTATACGAGCTATTTAAACACCTGTGACCTGGCCCTCTAGGATTTCTACAATTCCCCTTTTTTTTTGGCTGATTTTGTGGTCCCTTCTTCATTTGTCCTATAACAGGGTTTGTCATCCTGACATCTTCTGCCTCCACGATCCTCAAATACGGAATGTATCCAAATATTCTATTTATTAGGGAATATATTTTCGTTAGAATCATTCGAGTTTGTCCTCCTGCTCCCTAAACATGTGGCGTGATCGGGGCTATTCGAGATTCATCCTATGCCGAGCTCCTAGTTCTCGAGCAGGTCTATTCTGCCATGTTTGATATGATCGAGTGGATAAATACCAAACTAGACAACCGTAGGCTTTCATATCCCTGGGCTGTGGCCCAATTTCATGATGAAATGGGTGTAGGCCTCGACAATGGGCTAGCCCAGCCCAACATTTTTTAACTCATAGCCCGCTTGTGAGCTAGATCTCTAGGCTTTGACTAGTCAATGGGCTAGGCTGACCCCCGCCCGTTAGGAATTTTTAAGGCTCATGGCCCGCCCGTGGGCCAACCTATTGGGCTAAATACGGGCCGCACCTTATGGTCTGCCCATTGGTATTGAAACGGATTTTTTTATTAAAAAATTATTTTTTTATTAAAAAATTATTTTTTTATGAAAAAATTAACAAATTTATTTTTTATATAAAAAATAAAAAAATACATCAATTATATGACGTGGTGTATAAAAATAAATTAACAAAAAAATTATTCATATTGATTACATTACAAATTGATTGGTGGGTGAGACTATTTTGAATCACTATAAATTGAGTACATCCTAATTAAATTGACACATATACAATTGTCAATCATTTGCAAGTCTTAATCCATAAAAGTTACAGATCAAATAAACAATATAATTATGAAATATAATCTACTTATCTTATTGAGCTAATGGGCGGGCTAACGTGCTTCTTAACAGGCCAGCCCACTGGGCCTTGACTCTAAAAACATGATCAAAGCCCTACCTGGGTTAGTGGGCTACCCAAGCCCTGCCACGTGTACTGGCTTAGTTGCCCTATAAGCTCGTTGGGCTTCCGGGCAATGGGCTTTCTAGTGAGGCCTAAGCAAGTGCTCTGCAGGTGGGCTAGTCAGGTTGCTCTTCAAGGGCCCGATGGAAGTTTTGAATCCAAATGGGTGGCCGAAGCCCAAGCTCAAACCCATCGTTATCATAACCGTTTTTTTTTTTTTTTGATCAAATATCATAACAATTTAAAACCACAGTAAAATAAACATAACCACCATACCACACATCACATCCCAAGTTCACCAATTACAACATATTCCCACATACATACTACTCTATCCATAAATTTCTAAACCTCTAATACAAACCGTTTCTCGTCACTTCCTTGTGTAGTCTTTAAAGTCCTTATAGAAACCATCAATCTTACCCTCTAGCTGCTTAAGCACCCCCTAGTGTATTCCTCAAATTGCTCAAACTGTGATGCCATCTTTTGTTGCATTTGTGATTATCTGTTGAAGCTTCTCTCCAACCATATTCATATCAATTGCAGAATTAGTTGGACTTTGCGTGTCGATCTTGTGAACATTTTCAGATTGGCCACTAGACGAGGGTGCACTATTAGAGCAACGAGAAGACTCAGCCTAACCCAAACTCTTTTTCAATGTACCCTCATTTATCAAACTCATGGCATGTATCACTGCATTGCCAGGCTGAAACGCAACTCCACTATGCCTCAAAATCTTGGTAATCAAAATGGGAAATGGAAGACTTCGCCTTTTATCCATCACTTTAGATGCATTATAAATAAAGGTTAAATATGTAAAGGGGAAGATCTATACATACCCCAGTCCCAATCGCATAAAGCAGTTGAGCTCTGTTAGATTCAAAATCAGCTTTATGTCCTTTGGGATCGATATTACACGAAACTATACGATTTAATATCCTATAGCTTAAACCAAGGTTTTTCTGGTCAATTTTTGTGTTCTTATCCACCCAAACAATATGGATATCACAAATTTCATCAATAACCTTCCCTATTTCAGGATTTGTTCCTCTTTATTATAAGGATACACAATGATATTCTCAGGAATTAAGGGGTAGGGTACTTCCAAATTTTTTGCAATCAAATCAGGGCTCACGTCTATCACTTTACCCCTAACTTGAGACTTTTAAAGGTGTGACGATCTTTATGAAAGTCGTGGATGTTTGCATAAATTAACCTCACAAGTTTATCATATGTTTTTTCATCCTTTTCAACATCAAACAAGGAATTCCAATATCAATCATCAAAAAATGTAGGGCAATCTGTTGCTCCTAAATTGTCCAATGAAACACCACGCTTAATTAACAATAGACGATGACAAAAGCATAAATTATACCTTTTTTTTAGCGGCATCATTGTAGAAACTTTTATCAACGTTGGAACTCTTGCCTTTATCAATAACTTTCCTCTTCTTAGTTGGTGCAGCAGCTCCACCAGCCATCAAGATAGTGAAAATAACCCACGATAAAAATCAACTACAACATGGATTTCAGTGTTTGATTTTGAGGTAAATAATAATGGTTAGGGGTTTGTTTCACTCGATTAAATCATTAGATTCTCGATATTAGTGTCCAAGAATCACGACGATTGAGATGTGGTTAACAACAACAACCAACTAATTTCAACAGATGGTGTCAGCTGCTACAATCTATCGTTCTAAAGATGATCGATCTCGCAGTTTAGGAGTTGGCAAAACAACTCTGGTTTTATCTGGGAAGGAAAGGGGGAATAAGACTAACATAGATAGGTAAAAATTTTAGCAAACGAAAAGAAAAAAAACCCAACATAGTTGGCTGTAGTGGGTTGGACTATTGCAGGACATATTTGTCTTTTAATAGTAAAATGAGATCAATCAGGAAAACATTTGATCGATCGCCAGTTACATAAGCCATTACGCCAGCTCGACCCGATACCGTTGACGAACTATCCATGATGCTCATGGATTAGGTGAGCATCACTCTATAAATTAAGCACACTCACTGCTCACTCACAGTTGAAGAAATTTGAAGAAGTAAAAATGGCAACAAAAGTGCCGAGGATCAAATTGGGTAAACAAGGTCTTGAGGTGTCAGCTCAGGGACTAGGTTGCATGGGCATGTCCGCTTTCTACGGCCCTCCCAAGCCCGATGCCGACATGATCAAACTCATCCACCATGCCGTCGACAGTGGTATCACCTTCCTTGACACCTCCGACATATATGGGCCTCACACTAACGAAATCCTTGTCGGAAAGGTACTCCCCACAACTCAGATCTATGCACACCCGCTTTGTGTTTATGTTTATGTTTGTGTGAAATATTGATGGGTTTTCTATGTGTAGGCTTTGAAGGGAGGGGTGAGAGAGAAAGTGGAATTAGCGACGAAATTTGGGATCAGGTTCACAGACGGGAACAGAGATATTTGTGGTGATCCGGCATATGTGCGGGCTGCTTGTGAGGCCAGCTTGAAGCGGCTTGACATCGATTGCATTGACTTGTATTACCAGCATCGCATTGACACTCGATTGCCCATTGAAGTTACGGTAAATTTGCTATTTTTTGCCTCTTTTTTCTAATGGCAAGAATTATGTACAACTATTTTTGACCAAAAACACAATTATATTATTAATGTGACTATGTTCATCTCCCATTTGATGGTCATCCATATTTCATCAATCTTACCTGAATAGAAGGCAAAACTCTGTATCGAGTCTTTCATTGTTTTTATTATCTTGTTTTTCCTAGATATCTCTAAATATCTTTCTCAAGGAGACTTACAAGAGTTAATTATACATTTACCATATTTTTTATTTAAATGTTTTTACCGTTGTTTTGTTGTTTCAAACTTATTTATAAAAAAATGCGACACTTTTAAAAGCATATTTAATAAACACGCTTTTATCAAAAAACATGATTATAGAACACGCTTTCCCGTGAGCAACCACAAAACGATCCTTTTAAAAGCATGTCTTTTTAAATACGCCTTTAATAAAAAAATGTGTTTCTCTTGGACAGGTTATCTTTAAGAAGTGAACTCCATTGAAGATTGAAATTTACAACTAATCCAATAGCTCCATTAAATTAAGTCCCTCATTAGATTCTCAAATTAGGTTCCTTTTTAATATGTGGTATTCAACCAAAAAAATTCATGCCAAGTCATTATGTCCTTGTAAGACTTTTATAGTTTCAAATACCTGTTGTCTCCTCCTCATTCTCTGGCATCTCTCTCTCTCTGCTCCTTATTCTTTTAAGAAAGCTTTGCATGTCCAACACCCCATGAAGCCAGTAGGTACAAGCCATTCTTTATACAAGAATAATACTGATCTGGGCAAAGAATAAATAAGCCAGAAGTAGTGAATCTGACATACAAATTTGAATCACCATCTGAAAGAGGCCAATTGAGTGGTAGTGTCTAGATGTGGCCTTCAAAGAAGTAGAATTTGGCTTCATATCTTTCGTCGTTGGGTCTGACTTCGGTCCCCTTACTTTTAACTCCTTTGGTTCTGATCTCAGTGATTGCTTGTGTGCTGGGTCTCGACAAATCTTTGATTTCTTAGTCTTCTCCATTAGCATGGAGGCCAGTTGGTTTTTGGAGGTCTTATTCCCAAGCTTTGGTGCATGCTTAGTAACCACCACTTAGCTACTGCCACACAGGTTCTTAAAGAATGCTGAACATGTTATGCAAGTTGCCACATGTCATGCATATTTTCCGCACGAGATTCTTGGATCTGCCAATTTTTATGAAAGAAGTAAAAAGTGCATTAGGATTGTTTATGGCAGTTAGCCTGTGTTCACAGTAAGTGTGTTTCTTAAACATGCTTTTCTCTAAAAGTGTGTTTAAATGACACATTATAAAAGGATATTTTTGAATAATTTTTCTTCTCATAGTGAGAATGTGTTTTATAGTCCCATTTTTTAATGAAAGCGTGTCTAAACACGTTTTTAAAAAGTGCAATTTTGAAACCATGGTAAAACGATTAACAAATTTACAAATACCGTAAATGTATAATTAACTAACACTTACAAATGGTAAAGTTCCCTATTTTTTGCACCACTGTTAAGTTTTAGTAGCTCTGATTTTTGGCCAAACACTGATTTCTTATATAATACAAATGCGAGGAAATAAATTCAGCAAAAGAGCATACGGCTTTTATGTATATATTCTCAGTTTTATTATACAGATTGTAACTCCCAGTGCAGCCACAGTAAGCTTGAGTGGCTTGTCTTATTATGCCCAAAGGGGAAGCTGAAGTATTCAAGTCCTTTCTGGGACATTTTTGGATGTGTGTTACTATGAACACACGCTACTACACTATAAACACTTAATATTATACTTCCCATGAGCATTGAACATTTTTGCATTATGGAGTGGGAGTGCTTATGCAATGCTCGAAGTTGTGCAACAAGTGCATGTGTACTTTTTCCAGAAATAAGTTTATGAGTGTTCTGAACATCTCTATCCTTAATAAGGGTTTTCCTTCTTTGACCAAGCTTACTACTAACATTCTTCTAATTCCTTTTAAAATATCTTTTGCAAGATGGGAGAACTCAAGAAACTTGTTGAAGAGGGGAAAATAAAATACATAGGTCTATCTGAGGCCTCAGCCTCTACCATTAGAAGAGCACATGCTCATCACCCAATAACAGCTGTTCAGCTGGAGTGGTCTTTGTGGTCAAGAGACGTGGAGGAAGAAATTATTCCTACTTGCAGGTTAGGCATATATTCTGCTAACTTATTTGAGGAGGAGGTTAAAAGAAATCCCAGGATCTAATTCTATCCCTTTTAAAAATTTCAGGGAGCTTGGAATTGGGATTGTTGCATACAGTCCTCTGGGACGCGGATTCTTCTCGTCGGGCCCAAAGCTATTGGATAGCTTGTCAAATGAGGACTTCCGGAAGGTTAGTCCTATATACCACAAGTCTCTTGATTTCAGAATAATAACATAGCTTTTGGCACATCCTATTTTCTTTAGTACTGCATTTGTTTGATATTATCATTATACAAATTTAGCATTTTATTCTCTTGTTTGCCTAAGACTTACTACTGGATGAACATTAAGAAGCACAAAAGCTTTCCACGTCCACACCTTTTTTCTCTTGTCTCCTTTTGGGATATGTTCTTTGTTCCTACTTAATGATGCTCCCATGTCTCTCAGCATTCGGTGAACAACGAGTTTTTGTAATTTGTATCTTTATCTTATTCTGTGGTTGCTCCCTATTTGTTACATTTTACATGTGGCTTGTTTTTTTTGAAAATATTGTTTATTTAAGACGTTAGAAACTTTCACTTGAGATGAATGTGAGTGAAAAGGGATACAAACTAAGTGTAGAGCCCTGTATATATAGCTAATGAAAGTTACATTAAGGATAAAAAGGTAAAAAAAAAAACTTAATTAGCCCTAATAAACTAGGTTGTTGTTGTATCTCCAACACTCCTCCTCAAGCTAGGCGCAAAAATGTCAACTAAGCCAAGCTTGACAACAGAGTCCCGAAGAATGAATAGAGTGACAGGTTTGGTAAAAACATCTGCAACTTGATTCCTGGTCCTCACAAACGATGGAGTGACAATACCACTGCTAACCTTCTCCCGAAGAAAGTGAACATCGATCTCTATATGTTTCGTCCTCTCGTGTAATACAGAGTCAGAAGCAAGTTGAATAATAGATCGATTATCATAATATAATGTAGATGAAGAAGTCACTAAAAATCCCTACTTGCCAAAAATCGATTGTAGTCAGATAATCTCACATGTGCCAAGTGTCAGTGTCCGATACTCTACCTCTGCTGACGAGTAAGAGACAACTGACTGCTTCTTACTCTTCCAAGAGATAAGATGAGTTCTTCAAAAAGCACAAAAGTCTGTAGTAGATCGACCGTCACATGTTCCCCAATAATTTGAATTTGAATAACAGGCTAGAGAACCAGTCTGAGATCCTGATGCATAAAATAATTCAAGTTCAAGACCATAGTTATCAAATCGTGTATCGGAAGGCGTATCGTAAGATACAAATATTGTATCGTATCGTGTATCGTATCGTGTATCGTAAGATACGATGCAATTTTAAATAAATAATAAAAAAATATATATACCTTTGAAAAAAAGCCATACACTCATAAAAAATATAGCATTTCATTAATACTCCACCAACTATTCAAGTTATCAACATAATCCACTACTATTATAATGCAAAGTTCACAACCATAGTTCACTAATTCAAACTTTAAACACCAAAGAGACTTCTAATCCAAATTTCTAACATCCATTTTGAACTCAATCTTCAATTTCAATTGAAAATGCATCATCATCATCATCATTGTGATCGGATGCCAACAAGTCTTCACTTCCTTTATCATCTTCAACTTCTTGTATTTGTTCATCCTCATCCTCATCCTCATCCTCATCTTCAAGTTGAACTATTTGCTTTCCTTTTTTCTTGTATAAAGTAAGATTTCTAAGCCCTACAAAGCAACCAATACAAAATATAAAAAAAATAAAATTCAAAGTAATGGAGAAGAAGAAAAAACAACCACTACATTTTAATTACCTCTCTTTCTCTTTTTGCTAGTCCCTTCTTGAACCTCAAAACATTCACCAACATTCATCCAAGTAGTGTCCTCAGGAAGGAGTGCATCTTCTTTTTCAGTGATCCACTCATCATCAGATTCCATATCTGAGAGAGAAATAGGATCATAGGAATCACCCTCTAGTATTCTCTTTTGGTGTCTTGCCTCCAATCGAAGATTGTACTTCACAAACACAAGTGCACTTAATCTTTGTTGCTCTAATCGATTTCTCCTCTTAGAGTGCACCTGGTCAAATGTACTCCAATTCCTCTCACATCCAGTGGCACTACAAGTCAAGCTAAGGACGCGGATAGCAAGTTGTTGCAACTCTGGACAACATCCTCCAAATGATTCCCACCACAAGGCTATAAAAAATTACAATAGAATACTCTATTAACTAACTTAAGCAGTTGCATTCAAATAACTAACTTAAGTTAAGTTACCACTAACCAGGTTGTTTCTTCTTCCTCATTTGGATTGCCATGTCCATTCCAAACATCAAATCAGCATTATGAAAGATATCTAATTGTTTATCAACTTTTTCTCTCATAATAGGACTTGGGCACATTCTCTGAATAGTCTGATATAGTCCCATCTTTATCTCATAGTCCGCACTACCGGTGTAATGAAACCTGAAATAATTATTTTGATTTACAATGATCATTGATCAGCATACAATATATAGATATAAAATGATATAAAAATTGAGAAAATTAAGTCTTACGCGGGATTGAGATAATAGGCAGCTGCATGAAGAGGTCTGTGTAATTGCATGTTCCATCTAGTGTCAACAATAGTCCATATGGGCTCATAGTGCTTCTTCACATTACGAAAATTCTTTTGGATTTGTTCCTTTGCCTTGTCCATTGCCTCATAAATATACCCCATGGCAGGCTTTAGATCCCCATCTACAAGCCTCAACACCTTCACCAATGGCAACACACACTTCAAGCAATACTTGATTGATCCCCAAAAATTTTGGTCAGCTAGTATAATATCCATCACTTTTACACCATCTCCCTTCTTACAATATTGACTTCTCTGCCATTCCTCAGAAGCAAACATTGCTCTAAGCCCAATTTTATTTTCAAATAAACTCCTTAAAGTTAAATATGAGGTGGCAAATCTGGTCACACAAGCTCTCACCAAATCCCTTTTCTTTGTATACTTTCTCATAAGATTTAACACCCAAGAATGTCTATAAATGTAAACTGTGATTTTCCTTGCCTTTGACATTATATCCTTGTGCAGAGGAAGGTCCCCAATATCCGTCAAAATGAGATCTAGACAATGTGCACCGCAAGGAGACCAAAACAACTTTTTCCTCTTTGCCATTAACAACTCCCCAGCTTTTACATAAGCCGATGCACTATCAGTTACAACCTGAACAACATTATCCTCACCAATCTCTTCTACCATTGAATCTAAAAGCTCAAAAAGATTATCCGCATTCTTACAAATACCTGAAGTATCAATACTTTTAAGAAACACACTTCCTCTAGGACTATTCACTAAAAAATTAGTGATAGAGCGATGTTTCCCATCAGTCCATCCATCAGACATAAGAGTACAACCCGTCCTTCTCCACTCTGCTTTATAATTTTCCATCAACCCACCATTAATCAAATTTGTTTCTTTTTTCAAAAAAGAACATCTCACCTCATGATACGATGGAGGTTTCAATCCCTTACCAAACGATGCAACAGATTCTAACATTCTTACAAAATATGGATCCTTTACCAAATTAAAAGGAAGGGCATTAGCATAAAAACATCTACAAATATCCAAGCATACATCTTCCCTACCCTTTTTCTTCAACATAGTATTCAAAGTAATTGTGGTGGTTGGCTGTATTTTATCAGCAGTAGTACTACCCACACTGCCACTACTTTTCGAATCCACAAGACTCATATCTTTGCTAATTGCCCTATCATCCAATAATTGCTTAAAAAATTCAGTTACTTCCTCAGGGCAATGCTTACACGCTGCTACATCTTTGCGATTACTTGCCAAATGATTTTTCATTCTTGAAATGCCTCCCCAATAGACATTTGCACAATGAATGCATTTCAATTTCAACCTTGATCCTTCTACTTTGTCACAATGTTCCCATGTGGGATCATTAGCAAGTTTTTTAGTCATTTCTATATGAAAATTGGATGCAGGTGATGCCACTGTTGCACAAAATTAAAATTAATCAAGATTCAGAAATTTTTATACAAAAAAATTTATATACATTTGGCTTTGTAAATAAATTAATATCATTACATACTGCACAGGACCAACGATCAATGGAGACTGGAAAGAAGAAGAAGAAGAAGAAGAAGAAAAAGAAGGAGTACCTGGAGAAGGAAGAAGGCAGCGATCAACACCCACAGTCGGAGACAAGCAATCACCCACAGACGAAGACCGGCAATCACCCACAGTTGGAGACCACCCACAATCGATCACCACCCAGACTCGAAGACCACCCACAGTCGAAGACCACCCACACAGTCGAAGACCACCCACACAGTCGAAAACCACCCACAGCGATCACCACCTACAACGTTCACCACCCACAGTCGATCATCACCCACCCACAGTCGATGGCTGAAGAGAAACCACAGACGTCGTCGATAGACCACCCACACAGTCGAAGACCACCCACAGCGATCACCACCTACAACAACGACCACCCACAGTCGATCATCACCCACCCACAGACGTCGGTCGATGGCTGATGAGAAACCACAGACGTCGGTCGATGGCTGAAGAGAAACCAGACGTCGTCGAATATGTGAGAAATGTCTGATTTTTTTTTTTGTAACCCTAACCACTGAAACGACGTCGTTTCAGTGGTTATAGGGAATTAAAAAAAAAATAATTCATTTTAAAAAACGACATCGTTTTTTTAAAAAAAAAAAAAATTGCACGTATCGTAAAAACGTATCGTGTATCGGACGATACAACGCAAAAACAATACATAACTACGATCCGTATCGTTTTAGGGTTGTATCGTAACGTATCGTACGATACGTATCGCGTATCGTACGATACTAACAACTTTGTTCAAGACAAGACTTGAGGTACCAAAGAATATGATAAACTGCATCAAGATGAGGCTGACATGGTTTGTGGATGAACTGACTAACTTGGCTGACAGCAAATAAAATGTCTGACTTAGTGTTGGCTAGGTAGATAAGTCTATCTACCAACCTCTGATAGACAGACGGATCTCTCAACTCCTCACCTTCAGCAGTAAGTTTCAGGTTTGAAATCATGGGTGATGATGCTGGTTTGCACCCCAGTATCCCAGTGTCTGAGAGAAGATCCAAAACATACTTTCTCTGAGAAAGAATAATACATTTGCTGCTATGGGCAACCTCAATCCCAAAAAAGTA